AAGAAGACAAGAAAGAAGGAAAAGGTTAAAATGAATGTCAGAAGAGACACTGAAACTTGCTCTACAGCATAAAGATGCTGAAAGCAAGTGGAAGAAGTGAGGAAGTACAGGAGCTAAACAGAAAATTTCAAAGGTCAGCTCGAAAAGACAAAGTTAAATATTAACAATGAAATGTGTAAAGATCTGGAGTCAGAAAACCAAAAGGGAAGAACATGCTCAGCATTTCTCAAGCTGGGGGAACTAAAGAAAAAATTCAAGCCTTGACTTAAGTTATTGAAGGATTCTCTGGGCAAATTATTGAATGATGAAGAAAGTATTAAAAGAAGATGGAAGTACACTCGTCACCGATAAGGGGAAGTGAGGGAAAAACAGCAATGAAGCAGCGAGCTAAGCCCTACAATGTTCAATAGACTTCTGTGAACCCAGGTAGAGACCTGGTTGGGCAGCAGTGTGGCAAGACCTGGGGACTCTTGGGCGCAGAGTCAGTGACATAGCCACAGAGGACTAGAGAGGAGAGTGAAGTGTCCAGCAGATAAGAGAGGGCATATGCACAAGAACACCCACACTTGCAGATAATACCCACTTGACCTGGCTTCAGTGACTGGATGATCAGAGCTCAACTAGAAGAATAAAGAAGAGGAAAAAAAAAGAGTAATATGACACAGTTTGATGAACTTGACCTACACCTATGGATGCAGTAGCTCAAAAGAGGGAACAAATCCTTACAGCAAGGATCATTCCCACCCCCTCCATACACAGAGTAGGCAGGGACGGGCAACTTGGACATTGGCTACCCCAAATGGGGCAGAAGGGGGTCCTACAAAGGCAAGAAGTGACTGGCTTACAAGCTTTCAAGAGGAAAGCTAGATTCATAAGGCATGGAGGAAGGTAGAATCTCAACTGAGTAGTATACAGTCTGCTAGGCGGGGCTGATGAAAAGAAATCCGGATGGATCTCTTGTGATACAATAGTGAATAATTGTTATCTGGACTGTTTGTGAGGGTTGGACTTGTAAAGGTAGACATTTTTTAGCAAGGAAGGGAGTGATTAACTTTTCAGCCTAAGAGCGGAGGTCCCGAGACTATCAAGGGAGAAGAGCGGAGAGCGGGACCCTACCCAGAGTAGCAGTGATGTGTGAGATGAAGGCAGAGATGATGACGTGGAGAGATGGAAGTGTTTTGGTCTTTAGACACAGAGAGGGAGAGGGACTGTGTGCTGATGACCCGGGGGCAGGCTTGCAGTGTATACCCTTTGGTTGGTTGATGATGCATAGAGGGGATTGTAACCATAGCAATGAAATGATATACTATAGGATGAATGTAAAACTAATGTTCTCCCATGTAAACTATCACATAATTCACAATAAAACATTAAAAAAAAAAAAAAAGACGAAGGAATACACAGAGTCACTGTACCAAAAGGAAATGATTGATATTTGACAATTTCAAGAGATAGCATATGACCAAGAGCTAATGAAAATGAAGAAGTGCAAGCAAGACGCCAGGAATTGATGGAATACAGAGTGAGATCTTTCAACTAAGGTAGCAATGGAGGCACTCACTCATCTATGCCAAGAAATTTGGAAGACAGCTATCTGGCCAACTGATTGGAAGAGATCCATATTTGTGCCCATTCCAAAGAGAAGTGACCCAACAGGATGCAGAAATCATCGGACAATATTCTATGTGAGTAGTTTTACTCAAGGTAATGACAGAAACAGCTGCAAGCATACATTAACCGAAAACTTCCAGAGGTTTAAGCCAGATTCAGAAGAGGATATAGAATGAGGGATATCATTGCTAATGTTCGATGGATCCTGGCTGAAAACCGAGAATATCAGAAAGATGTTTATCTGTGCTTTATTGACTATGCAGAGGCTTTCGATTATGTGGATCATGACAAGCTGTGGACAACATTGTGAAGTATGAGTATTCCGGAACACTTAGTTGTACTCATGAGGAATCTCTACCTGGACCAAGAGACATTTGTTCGAACAGAACATGGGAACACTGAATGGTTTAAAATGAAGAAAGGTGTGCGACGACAGGGTTGTGTTCTTTCATCATACTTTGTATACTGAGCAAATAATCCAGTAGCTATTACATGAAAAAAAAACGTGGCATCAGGATTGGAAGAAGACTCATTAACATTACCTGCGATATGCAGATGATGCAACCTTGCTTGCTGAAAGTGAAGAGGACTTAAAATACTTACTGATGAAGATGAAAGACCACAGCCTTCAGTATGGATTGTATCTCAAGGTAAAGAAAACAAAAATCCTCACAACTGCATCACTAAACAACATTCTTATCAACAGAGAAAAGATTGAAGTGTCAAGGACTTCAATTTCCTTTGATCAACCATCCATGCTCATGAAAGCAGCAGTCAAGAAACGATGTATTGCATTAGACAAATGTGCTGCACAAGACCTTTTTAAAGTGTTGAAGAGCAAAGATGTCCGCTTGAGGACTAAGACCCAAACCTTGGTATTTTCGATAACTTCATATGCATGCGAAAGCTGGACAGTGAATAGGGAAGACCATAGAAGAATTGATGCGTTTGAGTTATGGTGTTGGAGGAGAATATTGAAAGTGCCATGGGCTGCCAAAAGAACCAATAGATCTGTTTTGGAAGAAGTGCAACCAGAATGCTCCTTGGAGGCAAGGACAACCAAACTTTGTCTCTCATACTTCAGACATATTTTCAGGAGGGGCTAATCACTGGAGAAGAAAATCATGTTTGGCAAGGTGGAGGGTCAGAGAAAAAGAGGAAAACCCCCAGCGAGATGGATGGGCTCAAGTGTAGCAACAGTAGTGAGGTTGGCCCAGGATCAGGCAGTATTTCGTTCTGTTTTGCATAAGGTCTCTATGAGCCGGTATCAACTCGATGGCCCCTAATAACAACAACAAAGAACATTTCTGGCCCTTCTGGTTGCAGTTGCTGAATCAGCAGATGTGGGTGTAGAAGAGATTTCTGTAAAATCATCAGAGACCTGTTATCTAGTAATTCGTCCTGACCCAGTAACGTGCATAGTTGGTGGTGGTAACAAGAGTTAGACTCTGCAGCCCTCACCCCACACTCCACCTCTGTTTCATTAGAGAGAAATAGGTCCTCACAGAAGACACACCGAGATAAAGAATTCCAGTCACACAGGAGAACCGTAGGCGACAGACCTCAACAGAGGAATGGAAGTGCTAAGGGTCTCAGAGCTTTTTAACCCTGCGTGTGACACCCGTGCACCTCTGGACTTGATTTCCGGCCAGCATTGTTGAGCCCTGGAACTGTCCTGTCAGTTCCCTTCCACTGAGAAGCTGGATTTTCTTGTGTCCTGTCTGCATTGCATCTACAAGTCTTTGCTTGGGTCAGCCTGGTGCACGTGTCGTGTTGAAGTCTTAAGCGTGTGCTACCGTTGCTTATTGTGTCATCTTCCCCTTCCCAGGCTCATTGCCTGTTTGCGTATTTTGCTATATTGGTCTTATCAAACTACATACAGTTTTCCCCTGAGTCATTGAAAATACGTCTCTCTTATTCCTAGTTTATATTTCCTAAAAAAGGAGCATTTTCTTATAAAACTATAGTGTTGTTGAGTGCCATCGAGTTGATTCCGACTCACAGTGACTCTGTATAGGGTTTCCAAGGAGCGACTGGTGAACTCGAACCACCAACCTTGCAATTCAGACTGACTGCAGTGCAGCACATTAAGCTACAGCGCCACACCAGGACTCCAGAACTATAGTGGAGTTAGGAAAGTCAGCGGAAACTAACCTTGATAATTCGTATCAGCCATTGTCACTCGCACTCTGCAGAGCAGAGGGTTCTCGAGGCTGTGGGCGCTGCTACTGAGGCAGGGTGCCAGGGCTTCGGTGTGTGGAACAGTTGAGGGTTCCAGTCAGCAGCCAGGCACTTAACCACCTGCAAAACAAAGTCAGCAACCGTTCAGCCCGCAACACTCTTTACTCACCTGGGCTCAGTACTCGATCACAGCAGACACACCGTACTCCTCAGCCATGCCAGGCCAGTATTACAGAGCCTTTCGGGCCTGCTGACCATGTCCCCAGGACACAGCACGCCACCCCTAAGCCTCCCCCACCAATTCACTGCACACATCACTGTACCCCCTGAGCTGCTTGTTAATAGCGTGCCTCAAACAGTTGATGGGAATTTTCCGTCGTCTTTTCAGTTTTCCCACAAGCTTCCTGAATCCCCTCATCTAATACTGTTACTTAATCTGCAGTTCATATTCCACTTTCCCTAATTGTCCCAACAGGGTCCTTTGTTTCAGTCCTGGATTGTGTTCTGTTGGTACTCACCAATGCTGACTCTAGTCAAGGACTGTAACTGAATTGCTGCTTGTTGGTAGAGAAATTCTTTCTCCCCACTGCCACATCCTCACCGTCTGCCTCCTTCCCCGACCACCACTGCATCTCCTATGCTTTGTGTCCAGGACTTCAGCACCTGCTGTATGTCTCTGTTTCTGGGGGTCCTTTTGTCTGTGCCCTCTGCCCTCCCACCCTCAGGCTGCAGCAGTGTGGGGAGTGCCACTGGGAGGGTTGGCATTTGGTGTTCATAGTCTCTCCTCTGGGTCATGTTTGGTGTATGTGTCTGTCTGTCTGTCTGTCTGTCTCTCTCTGTGTACTTCCTCATGTTCATAGTTATGAATGGTGTCATGTGAGACTAAGATTCTGGAGTTCAGATATAGGCAGCTGCTGTTACCTAAGACCCACAACGCCCTGAACACCCAAACTGGAACCACCCAGTCAAGCTCACTGGTTGCTCATTCAGTAACTCATAAAGCCTGAGATTTGACCATCTTTTTCCATGAAAAAGGCACTTGTTTCCTTGTGTTTTTCTGTAATGGTAATCCCTCTTTTTCTTCCACATGTTTTTGAAACCATTCAGTGAACAATGACCATAGTGTTTTCCGTTTGCATGATTTTGCCTGGGAGAGGGATAGGAGTGGGTGCTGGCGGTGCCAACCTGTTGCCTGCCATCTGTTTCAGCTTGCTGGAGAGTGTCCTGGGTTACGTTAATGCTGCTGCCCAGTCCATGGAGAAGAATGCAGACAGACAGACTGTGAAGTTCTGGCGAGCTCTCCTTAGCAAAGCTTACGACATGTTAGATAAGGTAGGTTTCCACTTCTCCCATAATTCTTTTGTTGCAGATTTTTATATCATTATGGTATAAAAATACTTAACTGAAAATTTTAAGACTAAAACTAGCAGTAGCTACTCTTGCTATATATATAATTAAGCTCAGTTTTGCTTGGAATAGATCCTTTATGACTAGAAATAAATTTGGGAAAAAAATGCTTCCCTAATTACAAAAACGTGTGTCTCAATAGCTGTATTCTGTTGTGTTATTAAGTTCCATCCAGTCAGTTCCCACTCACAGTAACCCTGTATTGGGGTTCTAAGGAGCAGCTGGTAAGTTGGTACTGCCCACCTTGCAATTTAAACTGACCTTGTGATCCAGTACCACCAAGACTCCATAGTGTTCCACTTCAGTCATTGTAATAAAATTAAAAATTTCCATGGATTATGTGGTCTGTGAAATTGCTAACCAAAATGTCAGTGGTACGAATCCAGCAACTACTGTGAGAGAAAGCTAGTGCGGTCTGCTTCTGTGAAAGGTGTCCTTGCAGGCTGGGGGCAGCTCGGTGACGATTCACACAGGAGTTGGAATGGACCCCGCAGCACTGGCTCTGTTGGTGTGTGGAATATTAGAAACATCACTGACCTGGAAACTGGGAAAGCTGTTTAAATAAATCTAGCTACATTAGTTACTTAGATGGCCTTGAGCAATTCACTGACTCTTAGCTTCATTTTCTTTTTCTTTTTAAATGTTTTTGTTATAACTAATAATGCTGACCTAAAAGGTTACTGTAAGAATTGACTCAGGAAATGTGTATGAAAATGATGCTTGCCCCTAGGTGTGTGCAATAAATAGAAGTCATTTTTAATCCAAGTTGCGTTTCCTTTTCTTTCTTTTTTTTTAATGTAAAACTATAGGTCAATGCCTTGTTGCCCACAGAAATGTTCATCTCTGTCATCAGAGGGCTGGTGGGTAACCCACTGCCATCAGTGCGCCGCAAAGCACTGGACCTTTTGAATAACAAACTGCAGCAGAACGCATCCTGGAAGAAGAAAGTCGTAAGTCGATGCTGTGCACTTTGCTCCGTCACAGGCTGGGCCTCACTCCCCGAGGTTGCTCCAGGATGCATGTGACAACTGAAGTGTGTGTTTTCTGAATCTAGTACTATCATATAGATTTTTTTATTGTAATGTTACTTGCAGTCATATTAGGACTGAGTTTCAACGTCATGGAATTCTTAACTACTTAGGTTCAGGCCACCTCCTTTACTCCAAACCTTTATATGAATGAAAACTGTGTGAGCAACACGAGTGTTTTCTTAGGGATAACGTCATCACATAACTCAGGGGAACCTCCAGTCAGAATCAAGAAGTAGACTAGCATTCGTCTGCAGCTTTAATGACCTGTCCTCTGCAGGTTCACCATTTCCTACAACTACTTCCAGTCCTTTTGGCCATTGTGGAGCGTAAAAAGAAAGAGAAGGAAGAACAAGCAATAAACAGGCAGACGGCTTTGTATACCATAAAGCTGCTGTGCAAAAAGTTTGGTGCCAACAGTCCTGAGCCCTTTATCCCTGTGCTGAGCGCTGCAGTTCGGCTGATCGCCCCAGAAACCAAGGAGGAGAAGAACGTCCTGGGCAGTGCACTGCTGTGTATAGCAGAGCTGACCAGCTGCTTGGACGCCCTGGCAATCCCCCAGCTGCCCAGGTACGCTCCTGGGGCTCGGCCTCGCGCTTCCGGTCCAGGTAGAAAAGTTCATAGTTAGATTTGTTGTTATGGAATTGACCATTTCTTAAGACTGAAAACGACAATGCCCCTATTTGTCTTAGGGTCCCTGGTTCTTGCTGTGTCTTGGTGGCTATCATTAGGAAACTCCTTCAGGCAGAAGCTGTCTTGTACCACCCACCCACAGCGGTGAGATGGCTTCACCCCCGACTCTGACATGTGCTAGTACTGAAGCTTTGGGCTGGTTACATGACCCGCAGAAGCTTTGCCGTCTGTAGGGGGCAGATGATAGTACCACCCTTGTGGGCATTCTCGTAGCCTAATGAATACAAGTTCGGTACTTGAGAGGTACTTCTGTGCTTTTTTAAAAATCACTGCTCTGTCAGTACTGTTGGCACTGAGAAACAGCTCGCTCTTTCAGGTACACGAGATCACTGTAGATGGGGATTGACTCAGTGGCAGCTAACAACAGTAGGCACTTGAGGTGTGGGCAGGGTTTTCTAGATGGTGACAATACACAGTGATACAGGAAAAGTTTTTTGTTTGGACTTTTCAAATGAGCTTTGCTCCAGACTCCAGTCTGCCAAAGCTGCTCTAACGTCTTGCTCTCTAAACGTAGCCTGATGCCGTCGTTGCTGACAGCCATGAAGAACAGCAGTGAGCTGGTCTCCAGTGAGGTCTACTTGCTCAGTGCCTTGGCGGCCCTGCAGAAGGTCGTTGAGACCCTCCCACACTTCATCAGCCCCTACCTAGAAGAGGTCCTGACCCAGGTGAGCTCTGGGAACCACAGCATGCAGTGTGGGGCAGACTGAAAAAGGAGGATACTTAATGGTTTGAGTACTTCTAAGTTTTTAATGCCTGTGTGATAGGAAAGATTTTTACTTCTAAAAAACACGGGGGGTTTCTTTTTGTTTTTTTCTTAAATATGTACCTTTTTTTTTTCTCTTATGTCATCCCTCCTGCATAATCATGAAATTGATCCGGGTCCCTTGGTTCCAGGTGTCTTTATCCATTATGGCAGAACATATGACATTGCCTTTTTGCCCCCTTTGAAGTCTCTGGTGACTACATGTTAGAGCTGGCCTTTCTTTGCTTGTGATTACTGGTGGTGGTGGTTGTATGCTGTGGAGTCAGTTCCAACTCATAGCCACCCTGTATAGGGTTTCCGAAGCTGTAAATCTTTACAGGAACAAAAATAACTCATCTTTCTCCCATGGAGTGGCTGGTAGATTTGAACTGCCGACCTTGTGGTTTGCAGACCACCTCGCAGTCCAGTATGCCACCAGGGCTCTTGAGTGAGAACTAGTCATGCATATTTGTTTGTAGTCTGAGAAGTTGCCACACCCAGGTGCCTGGTGCCGTACTGCGGCCTGTGGCTGCCTGTTGTTGGCCTCATTGCTCTTCCAGTGCAGAAACCACTTCTGGCCTGTTTTGTCCACAGAGACTCCCATCTGGCTTTAAAGGAATTCCATGTGTAACTAGAACACGTACTCTACTTTTTGTAAACACTAGCCTTTGAGCCTTGATGTGAATGTGTGAAGATTCTAGAAGCATGTTTATGTTGCCTTGACAGCTATATCTATACCCCTGTAGGTGGTGTGTTTGGAGAAAATCACTCGTGAAATGGGTTCTGCCTCACAAGCTAATGCTCGGCTCACCTCTCTTAAAAAGACACTGGCGACCACCCTGTCTCCCCGAGTTCTACTGCCAGCCATCAGTAAAACTTACAGGAAGATTGACAAGAATTGGAAGGTATTAGACTGTAGAAAGGGAGAGGTGGCACTTAAACAGATGCATTGCTAAGCTCTGAGACAATGAACATGTTGTGTTGTTGGCAGGATCTCATGGGTCCGTTCATGAGCATCTTGCAGGAGCACATTGGGGTGATGAAGAAGGACGTCCTCACCTCCCACCAGTCTCAGCTCACTGCGTTTTTCTTAGAGGCCCTGGACTTCAGAGCGGGGCACATGGAGGAGGTCAGCTTACTTTCATCCATACAATCCTGAAAGTAGTACTTTTGAAATTAACACTTGTCAAAGCAATCTAGAGCTAGATGTCAGTACTGTGGCTAATAAGTCTGCTCTTGTTTTCAGAATGATCTGGAGGAAATTGGAAAAACTGAAAATTGTATCATTGGCTGTTTGGTAGCCATGGTTGTAAAGCTTTCTGAAGTCACCTTCAGACCCCTGTTCTTTAAGGTCAGTCTTTCCACACGTCTTCTTTGTATGAACAAAGAAGGTTTATGTTAAAATACAACCAAGAGAGTTGCTGTGCATGTCGAAGAAACTAATACTCCTTTTTTTCTTAGCTGTTTGATTGGGCTAAAACAGAAGGTGCCCCGAAGGACAGATTGCTGACGTTCTACAACTTGGCAGATTGCATTGCTGAGAAACTGAAAGGGCTTTTTACTTTGTTTGCTGGCCATCTAGTGAAGCCTTTTGCTGACACCTTGAATCAGGTGAACATCTCTAAAACAGGTTGGTTGCTCAGTTCAATTCCATTGACCTACCGTGCTGTATGGAGTCCTGGTGTGGCACTGCAGGATTCAGCACTGGACTGCTAGCCACGAGGTTGGCAGCTCAAGCCCACCTGCCTCACAACAACCTCCTAGTGTACTTTACACCAGGCATGACAGTGCCCAGAGACAGGATTTCAGAGTCATGAGTTCTGGTTTAAGGAGTGTGCATTTGTACTTTGTGGTCACTTTTCAGACATTGAAGTCTTTGTTTTAGCTTAATGAAAACAGTATTAATAAGCTAACTAATTTGAGAGAAAGGTTAAGTGAATAAGCATTAATATTGCACCACTGGAGGTAACTTTGAAACATTAAAAATCAAAACTGCTTTATTCCTTAATACAACTTGGTAATTCAGGTAGTTTAACCTAGGCATTAGAATCTAACAACTCTAAAAGAAGAAAGCACCTATTTATACACAAGGCCAACTGTTGGATTCAAACCCACCAGCTGTTGTCAGGAGGAAGATGAGGCTGTCTGCTCCCGCAAAGGCCTAGAGAGGGTCGCTGAGTTACAGATGATGTGATGGCAGGAGGTTTGGGTTGGGTTTGGTTATCCAGATGAGGTCAGGATGATCTAAGAAATACCTTTCTGATCATAGTTACGTTATGTGATTCCAACTTAAACCATGAGAGCTTCATCTGTCTTGTTTTTACTTTGTCTACAGATGAAGCATTTTTTGACTCTGAAAATGACCCTGAAAAGTGCTGCTTACTGCTGCAGTTTATTTTGAACTGTCTACATAAAATCTGCCTTTTTGATACTGAGCATTTTTTAAGTAAAGAACGAGCAGAAGCTTTGATGGTACCCCTGGTGGATCAGGTAAACGGGAGCTCTTTTCTGGTCCAAAATGAGAGCTTGCTGGGCATTGTTTAAACTTTTTTAAAATATTAAATATTATTAATGAAATTTGTATTCCAAACTTGATTTCTCATGATTTAACTCAACTTCATAGTTTCACTTTTGCATTCTTTAAAAGGAAGTTATAAAGTTTTATTGTAAATTTTTTATTAATGTACATTGGATTTCTTAAGAATGTTTTAGGATTGGGTTTTCTCTGAAAGCAGGCATCTAAAGACATTCTGCCACAGGGAAAATAGTAATAAGGACTCTGAGATTTCATCAGCATTCCCCATAGACGGAAGCCCAGAGACGTTCCAGAAGGTGACAGTGGTGCTTTAGAGAGAGAGAGTATTAGGCCACAACCTCGTTGTCAATCCTGCAGACATCAAGACGGGTAGTCACATATTATTTACACAATAGGTTTGGTGTTTTTTTAATGTAAGGTTCTGTGGTTCAAAGTCTTTGTCTCATTCGTAACAGCTGGAAAATAGGCTTGGCGGAGAAGAGAAGTTCCAGGAGCGGGTGACGAAGCACCTGATACCTTGTATTGGGCAGTTCTCAGTGGCTGTGGCAGATGATTCCCTGTGGAAACCACTCAACTACCAGATTCTGCTAAAGACGAGAGACTCCTCGCCCAAGGTTAGCAGCTGACCAGTGTTGGTCAGACAGCCCCTGATGTTACACATTTTCACTGCAGAACACAGATGGGACCATGCTAAACTGGGTGGGAAGCATTGCCGCTGGCCAATGGTATTAAGAGGTCAGCTCAGGGAGGCACACACCCCACACATTATGTACCATTAGGTATATATGAAGTAACAGCTTTTACCTCAGCTGGGGAAAGGAAAGTCTGAAATCAGACTTCTTTGGTACTGCTAATGTTTTATTTCTGGAGTTGTGGTGCTGTAGGATAAGCACTGAACTGCTAACTCATAAGGCACTCCTCGGAAACCCTGTACTGGCTCGTGGTGAATCAGAACAGAGTCCACGGCACGTAACAACAGTATCACAAACTTTCAGCGTGAGTTGCTCTGTAATTTTTATATGTAAAATCCACCGCTCATCTTTCAGTTTGTCGTACTGTGGTGGCTTGGGTATTGCTGTGACGCTGGAAGCTGCCACTGGTATTTGAAACATCCCCAGGGTCACCCACGGTGGACAGGTTTCTGTGGAACTTCCAGACATAGACTAGGAAGAAGAGGCCAGTGCTTCTGAAACCCTTATGAATAGCACCAGAACCGTGGCCGATACAAAGTAAAACTGGGGAAGAGCTGCCTCCTCACACTGGAGTGCACCAGAATGATATGAATGGGACAGGCTTTCTGGACCTTCATTATTAACAGCTGAAACCATCCAGTAATCATCAGAACATGGAACATACAAAGTATGAATCTACAAACATTGGAAATTGTAAAGTTGAACAGCGAAAAAGGAGTTCCGTAGAAGTATCGATGTATTTGAATTATGTTGTTGAGTTGGCTCCGGTTCATAGCAACCCTGTGTAGGGTAGGGTTTCCAAGGAACAGCTGGTTGGTAGGCCTGAACCGCTGACCTTGTGGTTAGCAGTCCAGTGCTTATCCAGCAGTGCCATTGTTGGAGAAGATTGAAAGTACCATGAACTACCAGAAGAACACACAAATCAGTTTTGGAAAAAGTATAGCCAGAGTGCTCCTTAGGAGCGGCTCCCGTACTGTGGATATAACTATCAGGAGGGCCTGGCCTAGTCCCTGCAGACGGAGAGCCTCGTTAAAGTGGAGGGCCACCAAAAGAGGGAGACCCCCAACGAGATGACTTGGTAGTGGCAGCAGTAGTGGTCTCAAACGTCACAATTGTGAGGTTGGCACAGGACTGGGCAGGGTTGGTTCTGTTGTGCACAGGGTTGCAATGAGTCAGAACAACTCAATGGCACTTAACAGCTAGGAGTCATTTGATAGATTTTTTCTGAGGACATTGGATGATCACAGGGGCCTATTAGGAAGATGTTTTAGGAAAACTGAAAACTGCACTGAAGAGACTAGGCCAGGAAAGTTGTGCCCAAGGGGTTTTTAGGTTTTTTTCCCCAATCACAATAAACCCGCTCATTCTTCAAGATTAGCTGGGACTGCTGTGAGAGCTGCACTGGGAAGGATGCCTGACCCCTCCCACCTTCCAGCCCTGAGCTTGCTCTTCCACACTTCTTTTTTCCCCCTGACATTTGATTTTGAACATTTGAGTCCCTTGAGGATGCCCAAAACTGTTATTTTGAGGAGGTGTGAGTCAGAGGTACAGAATTCTTCAGGAAAGAGTTACTCTTGTTAAGCGCCACTGAGTGGGTTCCGACTCAGTGACCCTGAAGGGTTAGGGAGATGGAAACGCCGCCGTCCCGAGTGGCTGGGCCTAGATGGAGGAGCGGCTGCGTTTAGTGAAGGTCCTTCTGATTTCATAGCAGTGTGACATCTGCTCCTTACCCTTACGTCCTATACCTGTGATTATTACAATAGGCTATGCAGGGGGTGCTATCGAATTACAGGCTGTATGAACGAGGGGATTTGAAAATGTTCACAGAAAATACATGAAGGGAATTCGCCACCAGCCTTCTGAAGCCCCTCATGTGTCCACACTGCAGGCATTAAGCTTAGGATCTGAAGTGGTAGTTGAGATACACTGCTGTGGATAGGAGATGTGGGAGAGAAACTGCACACCTGAGTCTCAAAGCTTTCAAATGAATGATGTTGTCAGAACTTGAGTGGCGAAAACCTAACAAAGCAAACTCTCATTAGTACTAGGAGTCGGTTCTGCCCCATAGCAACCCTACTGCTGACCTTTTATTAGTAGGAGTTTTAAATTCAAATTTATATAATAATTATGAGGGTGAATCAAAAATCATCCACTGTTTATATTAATGCCCGTCCATGGCTGATAACATTGCGCATGCACGTGAAATGATTCTGTCAAGTAGACAAATCATTTACAAATCAGCCTATGCAATCAATAATCCACAACAGATTGGTTTCAAAAAGTTTGTTCGAGAGGATACAGAAACAACTCACGAAAGAGCATAAACAGAAGTGTTTGTGAACATCTGCAAACAAAATTTGGACCGATACCCCAAGGAAGGTAAAATTTCTTTTGAAAAACTTACTGGTGAGAAGACATGGATTCATCACTACGAGCCTGAGAGTAAACGGCAGAGTATGGAAAACATTCTCAATCACCGACCAAGAAAAAGTTCAAGTTAACCATCAGCTGGAAAGTGGATGTTTCATTTTTTGGGACCCTCAAGGACCAGAATTGGAACACTGTCAGGAGAAAGGTTCAGCAATCCCCAGTGCTGGTTACAGTGAGAGGCCCACTGAAGGGCTGAAGCCTACACTTTGGATGAAACGCAGAGGACCCTGTGATCCTGCACAACAATGCACGTCCACATACCTCTGCCCACACTGTTGGCACTGCAAAAACTTGGTTTTGATGTGTTAAAGCATCCTCCCTATAGTCCTGATCTTGCCCCATCAGACTTCACCTGTTTGCTCCCTTTAAAGCAGCCTTCGTGGACCAAGATTCACCTCTGATGAAGTGCAGACAGCAGTGCATTTGTGGCTCACAGTTCAGACTAAAGCATTTTTTAAAAAGGATATACAAAAGTTTGTTGACAGAGGTCAGAGTATATTGAAAAGTAAGGAGATTATGTCAAAAAATGATGTTGTCATTTCTGAAAGTTGATAAATTCTACAACCAGAGTGTGGATAATTTTTGACTCACCCTTGTATTAGGGATAAAGAGACTATCTGGAGGAAATTCCCCAAAATTTGAATTGTAGGTTCAGCACTGGGCTGTGAACCATGAGGTTGGAATTCAAACTCACCAGCTGCTCCTTGAAAACCCTACACAGGGTCACTATGAGACAGAACCAATTTGATAGCACTGTTAACAACAGCGACAACATACAAGTTGTGGCGCTGTGATGAGTCAGAATGTTCTCAATGGCATTTAACAACCTCGAAGTTGATTGTAACGTTTTGATTACACTGTATCAAAATCCTGATTCACTAGGTAGTTACAGGTGGTTTTTAAACTCACATTACAGTACTCAGTCTTTCAGTGATTCCCAAACCTGAGAGGTCTAGTGGAACTTGCATTACTAACCGAAGAGTACCTAACAACTACTTATATTTCTGATCATCCAAAGCGGGTGCCTGCGACACGTGGCATAGTGCCTGTGGGGTTTTTGTATGTTGGAGGCATTCTGCCTCCAGAGAGGGCAGGAGACACTCGACGGCACGGAGCCACTCCAACACTGTGGGGTGTGATAACGACACACTAGTGAGTTTGCATGTGTTAGTTTTATTTTCTTTTTTAAAGTATTATTTTAAAAATTCACGTTGTACATTTGCAATAGTGAAACAGTTTGAAAACTACTGATTTGTAAGGTTACTTGGAGTACAAACAGATCTCAAATTGTTAAATAAACTGGTACTCAGAAGTGAAAGTTAGACAGAATGAACTGAAATAAAATCGTGAGAAATCAGTTTAAAAAGTTAAAACTTGTTTCAAATTAGTACAGGTTTTAACATAATGCAGTTAGTTTTACATTTCATCATCATTTTTTGCCCTTTTCTCCTTTTCAGGTTCGATTTGCTGCTTTGATTACTGTGTTAGCACTGGCTGAAAAGCTAAGAGAGAATTACATTGTCTTGCTACCAGAATCCATTCCTTTCTTAGCAGAACTGATGGAAGGTAATTTCCAGACTATTAAGAATAATTACAGTACAGTTCTGTGAAGCTATGCCAACAACAGTGCACATGGGAGATAATATGCCCGGCAGTTGGCCCCAGTCCTCCCTCCACCCACTCCCACCTCCAGTCTGGGGAGGCTGGAGCTCCCGAGGGAGGAGGGTGCTCTTAACCAGACGGCTGCCTTGGGAGCATTTGGGAAGTTGTTTACAGTAGAAGCTTCATTAGTTTTAGTTGTGGGTCTTGTGCAACAGTACAGATTACAATTTTTCATGGACCTCATGCATTTATGATTGCATATTTTGAGTCTCCAGTTATTACTACATCTGGACGTCTAATGCCGTGACAGGACAATAGTAATGACTCCGGTTCTGTGTTCACAATGAGGCCTATGCTGAATTACATATAGAGCAGAAAACTAAAGGCTTAAAGGAATTCAGTAATTGGATGCAGATAGCCAAGCTCAGTTTGCACAGCCCTGGATCGTGTGCTCTTCAAGCACTGTACCACCTGGGCCTAGAAAACAACAGTAAACCGTAGCAAGCCCAGTAGAGACAAGAAGATGGGCGGTCGGCCGTGTGGGCTGCTGAGGAGCAACAACTCTGCTGGGAGTGATGTGGGGACGGCGGGGAGCAGGAGCTACATCCCAGTGCTTTCTGCTTGTTAGTACTGTTTCACATGAATGAGAGAATGATTGTCAGGAACGTAAGACATGACAAGAGCTCTGGGCTAATGATAATTGAAGCATAAAGATGGATTTTTTTTTTTTTTTTTTTTCCCAGATGAATGCGAAGAAGTGGAACATCAGTGCCAAAAGACTATTCAGCAACTGGAAGTTATATTGGGAGAGCCCCTCCAGAGCTACTTCTAACACTTTTTCAGTGTTTCATCTCTATTTAGAGCTCCAGTTTATTTTTTCATGTTTTTATTTTTGGATTTGGGGTGCCATGTTTCTGTTGGTGCCGTTAACACTTACTCGGACTAAAGGTATTTAATCTCTTTTCAAAATCCCCGTCTGCTTTGTGCTACTACATGAGCGTCTCCTTCTTGTTGTATATATTTGCAAACAGAGTAAATGGTATGTGGTATTTTCATAGACACTGCTGTGTGATTTGTTTGTCTTTTCTCAGTGAATTCTCTTACCCAAAGTTAACAGCACCGCATTTAGAAAACCTTCACTCTTCTAGCAAGGAAACGATTGGATGGTTGCCCAGTCCCTCAACCAAAATCTCTTCTGTGTAGAAGCACTTTGGGTTTTACAGCCTGTGTGATTGCTTTAGGGTATAATCAGATGGCAGTTGATCCAGAATGCAGCCTTCACTCAGGACCGAGTTGTGTCCTTTATCCGTCAGTCTTTCTGAAGAAGTCGGGGAGAGGGAGGAGGGAAGGACCGGGGCAGTGTGCTGTTTATACAACAGCCCACACTTGGCTGACCACACAAACAGAAGGGGCCCAGAAACACTAGGCTGGCGTTGAGGTGTCCATCCAGGATTAAGAATTACTGTACTTCCATAGGGGGCTAACCAAGAATTACTTATATGAGAAAAGAAAATTCAGCATATTCTTTTGAGTGCTGTGATATTCTATAGTCTGTAGTATACTGTGTCACGGTGAGAAGAGCGAGCTCGAGTAAGATTAAACAAATCTGCCTTTATTCCCTAAGGGACGTAAGAACTGTCCCCTAGAACGTTTATAGAGTTTGAAAGCCTTTGATATGATTTACTATTGGAATTTAATGCAGTATTCTGACAAACAAAAAGCCAATTTGCAGTTTAGATAGAGCTTGCTAGGAATGGATATTTCTGTCAAACTTCTTAAACATTTTTTTTCCATATATGGAAGCAAATAATACTTAATTCCCTTATGAACATATTCCTAAATCTGGCAGATTCAGCCCAACAAAACCTTTGAATTTCATTTAACAAGATGTGGCCTGTAAGGGTTTGACACAGAATTTCTGCCAAATCACTTCAAAGAATAGGAAAATTACAGAAATTTAACAATTTAACTTGCTGATACAGGTTTGATTTAATCATTTAAAGTAAAACAATGTTTTGATGTCAATTGTTAATAATGCTGGACTGAGGATGTGCAGTCTTTGAATTCCCCAAGTTCAAATCCTCTGATTATCATTACACAGAGGACTTGACATAAAGTGCATTTCACCGTCTTTGTGTTTTGTTTTGCTTTTTGTCTAAATTGTACTGTCTTTGGGTTTTATGTTAATTCTTGGTAAAGGTTTAGGCTAGTAGAAATAGATGTTGATTCCAGTTAAGAAAATTAACTTCAAGTGTAAGTTACTATCAATACTTTCTGTGATAAGGAATTCACAGAACACTGGTTATGGAAGCGACCACTAGGGAGGGAGTAGTGTCCTTAATTACTTAATGAAGGAGTACAACTTTTAACCCTCAAGGGCTCTGCTGAGTTTAAGCAACGCCTGCGGAGAAGAGTGGCCCAGTGCAAGGGCATATAAGATTCTAAACTCAAGCAAACAGGTTTCATCCACCACTAGCTTCTAGCACAGTGCTGACAAACGAGACGCGTTTAGTACCTTAGCTGCTGTGTTACAGTGGGCACTTGTTGAATGTTAGTTGTTGCTACATGCTGTCGATAGGGCTTCCCAGGAGCAAGTGGTAAGTTTGAGCCGCCAACGTTGCGATTCAAACGGACCTTGAGTGGGATTAATAAAGGGAAAGCAAGAGCAGGGTTGGCCCACGCGTCCTCGTTCTGGACCCACAGAGTGAGCACGCCCAGCAGAGGTTTCACTATAGCAGCTCCCTGAACAGTAAAGCAATAGACAGACGGTGAGGTGAACACAGCCATTCTGTATTTCGGGTTTGTAGCTGGTCATGGCAACTACCAACTCCTTACTTCCAATAAGTTGATGTCTCCATCAATTTCCAGCGTGTCAATGTTGCTAAGCTCTTTAAATCTATGCTTGTACTCCAAGCTGTGTACACCATTGATGGCAACTTTGAATTCTTTAACATCACAATAGATTATCATCTGGAAGGACAGTAAACATATCATTAGTTTCAAGCCTTTTGTTTGCTGCACACAAACCATGTTACGAATTGCGTTAGCTCTACACAGAGTTGCTCCAGTCTGCTGCAGTGAACTTCCCTTCTGTGATCTGTAAGACACTGATCTAACGGGAGTCCACGGGGGCCTTGCTGGCCTTCCTGTCCTCCCTGCTCACTGACGGGTTTGTGTGTTCCTCATTTAGTGTGGACTTCATGCCACCAAGGCCCTGGTTTTTGTCTGCCTCACACTAACTCCAGGCCCTTGGACCAATCACACAGTGACTATGGAGTTTCACAAGTGAAACTGATCACAAGGCCATCTGGCACATGGTGGCAGCAGTCTTCCTCAAAAGCTTTACAAAGCTCAGTGTTCGGACTCTGCATAGTAACAGACTAGCAGAATCCACTTAGGTGCACCACTGGTGTTAGCCCTTCAGACTTGTCTGCCTAAAAGTCAAACTAGTATAAAAGTTGTGAAATGCTATCAAGTCATTTCCACATAGTGACCCTGTATAGGATTTCTGAGGAGCAGCTGATGGGTTTGAACGGCTGACCTTGTGGTTCAGTCCAGTGCTGATCCTACAGCACCACACCAGGAGTCCACTCTGGTAGAAGACTTACTATCTGTGTTAGAGTCTCCAAACAAGACCCCACACAATCTACATATAAACGTAAATGGACTATTATCCTGCCCCTGTCCCCAGGATCAGTTTTTCCTGTTTTTGTTTTCCAAAAGTACAATCTCACCTCAAAGTACATTCCAGGACTAAATGGGAAACAGGTAATATTTCTCTCTTCTTCTCCCCAGGAGTCTTGAAGAAAAGAATTTCTTACAAATGCTTTACTATTCAGGCGTGGGTTCAAATGTAGAGCAATATCCCTTGATTTTCCTGCTACAAGGTCAACATTAAAGCTTTTGAGAGAAAAGAAAAAGCCCTTAATTAACCAGAAAGAGAAAGTCGCGTTATTTTCTGCAATTTTAAAAATCAGAATTGAACTACGACAACTGTACACCAAGGATGGACATGAACATGGGCATGCAGATGGACGTGAACCCAGACTCTGAGTTAGCCTATCACTGAGATAACAGTGTCATTTACAAAACAGAATTTATACTCTGAAGTCACTGCTGAGGCTCAGGATCTGGTTGGGAGGAAAAAGGCTTAAGGCTAGTGCTAGTAGAGCGGACGGATGATTAAACTGGGGAGCCTTTCCAGCAGGTGTTCTCTTCCTCGGCCAAGGGCACACCTCACTCCAGGAAACAGCCCTAATAACTCCGCAAGGCTGGGCTCCCCTGGAGAGTGAGCAGAAATTGATAAGTCACACAACAGCAGGAGCCTGAACGAAAGATGCCTGATCTTACAGCACTGCTTGGAGTTCAACTAAGGTAAAGGCAGGTGCTGTGGCGGGGGCAGACACTGAGGACCCTAAAATGCTGCTACGTTCTTGTCTGGACAGAAAGTCTAGGTCAGAACACTGCAACTTAGTCCTGGCTCGGCCACCAACTCAACAGTCCCATTCATTTGCTTTAAAACTTAACTTTTCCAAGTAGGATACTAATAGGAGCCCTTCTTAGACCATGGAGTCGTGGTGTGGCTCTGTAGGATAAACAGTAGACTGAACCACAAGGTTGGCAGTTCAAACCCAGCAGCCACTCCTTGGAAACCCTGTACGGGGTCACTATGAGTCAGAAGAGCAGAGGATGGAAACTATTGGTAGTGGGCGCAGTGAGTGATACTCACCCTCTGGCATTTGTGTTCACCTCTCCTTTAACGACAACAGTCCGCTCAGGGCCCATTGAGGAGTTCAGCCTGGCGACAAATGGCAGAGTCTGAAAAGAAACTAAACTCAGTGGCAGGAAATGGAAAGAGGGCTCATGGGGTAACTGTCCAAAGGACACTGGAAGTTGCAGGGCCATTATAGTGTACATTACAGGCGGGAAAAGTCTCTTGACCCAGATATATATGCCCAACAGCCCTAGCTCATCAGTGAAAACATTTCAAGTGATGAGGTGAGCGGGTGCAGAGCGAGTGAGCACACTCCGGGGAGGCCGCTATGTTTGGGGTCTGAGCACTGTTTCTACTCTGCCTGAGGCTGAGCAGGGAACAGAGCCAGTGAGCACACTCAGGAAAACTGCCTGTGTTTGGGGTCTGAGCACTGTTTCTATCCTGCCCGAGGCTGAGTGGGGTACTGAGCGAGTGAGCACATTCGGGAAGGCCGCCTGTGTTTGGGGTCTGAGCACTGTCTCTACCCTGCCTGAGGCTGAGCAGGGAAAAGAGTGCGTGAGCACGCTCTGGGAAGGCCGCCTGCGCAGGGTCTGAGAGCAGCCAGGCTCAGACTGGTGGGAGCTTAGCATCAGCTCCAGCACTCTTCTGAGGACTGAGAACACCTGAGGACAGCACCTCTGGCCTCTGACTGGGAGTAGTGTTTACAGTGAAGAAAACATTGGGCTCCTCAAACCTTTGAAATACAGTTGGTAGGTAGTATTTTGGCGCAAGTCGAATCTTTGTTCTTGTCGACAGTTCTGGGAGCGACCCTATCCCTAGGCTGCAGGGAAACAGTTCTACGGTGAGGGATGGGGGAAGTGAGTTTCTCACGTGGCTCAGTGTCGTAGCCTAATCAAAAATACTTACAAGCTGTGAGATGCCAGACCTCTGCACCTATTAGAAGAAAAGGAAAAAGGAGAACATTTTCAAAGGGAACAATGCTATTTGGTAATATGAACAGTCTGAACGAGGCCTGGCCAGGACCTAGGATGTACGTGCCTCTCTGTCCTCGGTGTAGGCACACAGGGACCAGGGCGTTAGGAGGGACTGGTATGAAATGGGGAATATAATGCTATCAGTATGAATCCTCTATCAAAGGATTCGTAACATTTCATAATGCCACATGCTAATAACTGAGAAGCCAAAGAGTAATGGGAGGACAGGAAAGAAAGAAAAAGACCAAAACGGATGTCACAAGAGACTCTGCAACCTGCTCTTGAACGCAGAAGCTAAAGCAACTGGAAGAATTTCTAAGGGCAGCCCGAGAAGACAAAGAATCATAATGAAATGCGCCAAGAACTGGAGTTAGACAACCAAAAGGGAAGAAGATGCTCAACATCACTCAATCTGAAACAATGGAAGAAAAAACATCAAGAACCAATGGTACAGAAGGAAGAAGTTCAAGCTACAGTCAGTGAAGACAGCGGTGTAAAACAAGGCTTCAGAAACTGATAGAGTGCAAACTGAAATCTTTCAACACACTGATGCAGCACTGGAGGCACTCACTCATCTATGCCAAGACATTTGGAAAACGGATACCTGGCCAACTGCTTGGAAGAGATCCGTATTTGTGCCCATTCCAAAGAGAGGAAATGGGAAACCATCAAACAATATCATTAATATAAAATGCAAGTACAATTTTGCTGAAGATAGTTTTTAAAATGGTGGCAGTAGGACACTGACAGGAGTTGCCAGACATTCAGGCTGGATTTATTATTATGTCATTACTGACATCAGACAGATCTCGGCTAACCGCAAAGAATACCAGAAAAATGTTTACTTGGGCTTCATTGACTAAACAAAGGCATTCAACTTAGTGGATCATAACAAACTGAGTAACATTGCTAAGAATGGGTATTCCAGAACACGTAACTGTGCTCGTTAGGAATCTGTTCAGAGACCAAGAGGCAGCTGTTTACACAGAACAAGGCATACTGAATGGTGTCACATCAGGAAAGGTGTACACCAGGGCTGCATCCTTTCATCCTACTTATTCAATCTGTACACTGCATCTGTGACGCTGAATTATATGAAGACGGTGACAACAGGATCGGAGGAAGGCTCATTAACAACCTGTAATATGCAGATTACAGCCTTGCTTGCCTGAAGCGAAGAGGACTTAAAATGATGAAAATCAAAGACTACAGCGTTCACTATGGATTGCACTTCACTGCAAAGAAAACAAGAATCCTCACAACTGGACCAATAAATCACATCATGATAAATGGAGAAAAGACTGAAGTCCAAGACTTCGAATCACAATCAGCAGTCAAGAAATCAAAAGACGTGTTGCATTAGGCAATCTGCTATGAAAGACTTTTATAAAGTGTTATCAAGCAAAGAAGTCAGCTTGAGGACTAAAGTACATCTGACCCAAGCCATGGTGTTGTCGACCATCTCTTACGAATGGAAAAGACGAATAAAGAAGGCCACAGAAGAATCGCTGCATTTGAATCCGGGTCATAGAGAAGATACTGAAAGTACCCTGGACCGTCAGAAGAACAAACAAATCTGTCATGACAGTACAGCTAGCCAGAATGCTCCTTAGAAGCCAAGATGATGAGACTTCGCCTCTCCGACTTTGGACACATTCTCGAGGGACGCAGTCCCCTGGTAGAGTGGAGGGGTCGGCGAAAAAGAGGACGGCCCACCAGATGGACTGACATATGACAGCAGCAATGGGCTCAAGCACAACAATTGTGAGGCTGGTGCAGGGTCGGCAGTGTTTGGTTCTGTTGTGCACAGGGTCGCTGTGAGTGGGAACAGCTCCTAACAACAACAGCTAAAGAACGGTTTTAAACTGACTTACAAGATTTAATGCTTACATTTTCTCTGTTAATCTGTGTCAGCGCCACAGAAGATGCTTGGGGACCTTGTAAGTCCTGGGAAGAAAAAAAAAAAAACAGTAAAGGTTTAATTTTCAGGATCCATCAGAATAGCTTCTAAATGCAACCTGCGTAATGAATCAAAAGTAATTATAAAGGCACTAAGTATGCAACTCTGCTTGAGCAAATGTTTAGAATGCATTTAACATTAAGGTCTTCTCCCCACCCACCTCCCAACTGAATGTTGAATTGGCACATATGAGAATAACCAATGCAGACAAAGTGAGCAAACTGGCACAGTTGTGAGAGACCATATGGAGGGCAAGTGAGCAGCATCTACCTGTCTAGCAGAGCCTAAAATACCCTTGACGTAGACTTTCTACCTCTAGGGCACTATCACAGAGAAAAACTCCACTAGCTAAAAGGCTGTGGTTTCCTGCTGGGTTCATTTTGCTGGAACCACAACAGACTTGAAACCCTACACAAAATAAAGCGCTGGCTGCTGGTGGGCAGTGTCCCGGGAAGTTACAGGAGTCCTGGGCGGGGAAGAGTTCAGCGCTCGGCTAACTAGCTAAACGGTAGGCTGCGTGGACTGACCCAGAGCCCCTCCGAAGCCAGGCCCAGCAGCGTGCTTCTAGAAACCCCACAGAGCAGTTCAACTGACCACATGGCTCAGCCTGAGTTGGAATCACCTCAACAGCAAGGAACAACTAGTCTGAAAGATTTACTTCCAGAAAGATCAATCCTTTTCTTCAGTGAGGGAGCTACTGACACTGTCCTTACCACAATCCCACTGCCCTGGAGTCGATTCCAACTCTCAGTGCCTGTGTATAGGATTTCCCAGATTGTAAATCCTTAGGGAAGCATAAAGCCTCTTCTTTCTCCCCTGAAACGGATGGTGGATTAGACCTGCTGACCTTGCAAGTTAGCAGTCCAGTGCTTATCTTGCAGCCCCACCACAACAGGGTATTTTAATGAAAGATGTCTCCACTGCATTTGGTTGGAAACTCATCATGACGGAGGACCCAAGCTTAGGGCACTCACCGAGCTGAAGCTGAAACCGATGGAATGAATGTTCACCTTGCCGTAAACGCCCAGAGTGTTTATCTTCTCTGGGCTAATCCTGTGGGCATAGAGCAGCGTGTGTTTTCCATTTACAGCCACCTAGAGAGACCCAGAAGACAATGCCCACCCCAAAAAACAACAGTGAATACATTCACTTCCAAACAGAACTGACCCATTCATTGGGTTTCAGCTGACAGCTTTCTCCCAAATGTCCCTGCTACATATCTGACCAAATGGTACCAGGAAGCAGCCATGAGGCCAACGTCACTCCTTCACTCCTGCTGAGCTCCTAATCTGGTCACATCCCAGAGAGCTCGCCCTGATGAGTACGTGTATTGTGTTTGTGCACGTTTATGTGCACGAGGCACTCGGAAATCACAGATGTGCTGGAGACCTCCTGAGACCAGGGTAGTAACACTTCCTTGAAGAGCATGCTAAGCTACTATGAAAGAGCCAGTCTACCCCCAACAGGTGTTTAGGACTGAGCAGCGAGCCAGCTGAATGGACTGGGCATGCAGTTTTCCTATGTGGAGGAAGAAAATATCTCCCTCAAAGGACTACTTATGTGGGTCTCTTAGCACAGTGCCTGGTGCACAATACACACTCATGCATTTAGTTTCCTCTCCTACCTCCCAACGGCCATGCAGCATGTGGGACACCTGAAGGGCACAGCCTCTGGCCTCAGCTTTCCTGAGGTGGCTCTGTGAACACAGGCTCTGACCACCAACCCCAGGGTCTCTCGGGAAGCAGACTGCCAGGCTGCTGGAAGCTCCGCTGACACCTGCTCAGCGTCAGAGCCACAGACGTGCCTCCAGTGACAGGTGGGCAGTGACTCAGCTGAAACACACCAATGGGCGACAGGCCTGCTCTCCCGTCTGACAGAGAATTCAACCACTGGCCTCCATTCAAATACCATTCCCCAAACCCACAGCCACTGCCAATGAGTCAGTTCCAACCACAGTACCACTAGAGAAGGGTTCCAACACTGTCAGTCCTCATGCGGGCAGACAACCATCTATTCCACACAGAGCAGCTGGTGGGTTTGAACTACCAGCCTTGCTGTTAGCAGCCCAATGCCTAACCTACAGGACCACCAGGGCTCCATAAAATCCCACTGTTGTTGTTGTCATTGTTAATTGCGGCTGAGTCTGTTCCGACTCATAGCAACCCTGTACAGAGTTTCCAAGGAGTAGCTGGTGAGTTTGAAGTGCTGACCTTGTGATTGAAACCAACCTTGCGGTCCAGCGCTACACCTGAACTCAGGGACGCAAAATGAACACAGAAGAAAACCAAAGTGCAGTGGCAGCACAGCAAAAACTGGTAAAAGGAAGTGTGGTGCTCCCAACACCAGAGGAGCAGTCGGTGGAGGCTCGGGGCCTAGGGGCTATCTGAGGGTCAGAGCTGTGTCCTGAAGGACAGAAGGACGTGCAGTCAGGGTTGCCGCTCTCAGGTTCTGGGAGAGCCGCAGGACAAGGGACAATGTTCATAAATGGCCAGGACAGAGTCAACTGCACACACTCTCTAGGAGTACGATGCCCAATGAAACCAGTGGGAAAACTCACTCTGTGAAGGGTCTCTAAGGTCCTCTCGGGACCTAGAGTGGGGCAGGACTGGGCTCCACAGCGCCCTATGGCTCCTAACTGGGATTCCCCAGCTGCGTTCCTTTCAGATGTCCCACACACACTTGGGGTCATACAATGCCACGCCAACTCAGAGTGACATTCTGAGCTTCCCCTGCTCTCACAGAAAGCTGTGGCCCCACTGAGTAGCTCTGCCCCGGCCTCCTAGTCCCTGCCTTCTGTCTGGATGTAACCAATGTAAGGGTAAGATCAACAGGGTAAGTGGAGTCTCACTCCCGAGGAGCCAACTTAGCAGGCTCCAGAACGCACCTGGAATTTGTCCTTCAGCACCATGATCACGATTTCAAAAGACTTTTCTTTCTGAAAAGGCATGTTATAGGTGATATCTTCCCGCCCCCACTTGTCACTGGTCAGAGTATTACAAACAATGCAGTTGGCCCTTTTGAAGCGTGGGTTGAGATGAAAGGCCACATCAGCTCGAGGTTTCACACTGCTGCCACACTGCAAGTCCACCTGGAATCTGAGAAGAAAGACACATGGGTCATGTGAGCACTCACAAAGGAGAGGCTGAAAACGTCTGGTCTCCTCGGATGTTCCCCACATAGCTGCTCCACCGAGCCCCTTCTGAGACTTAAGCCCAGTGTTCCAATGGGCATGGTCCTAAGCCAGGCACAAGGTCACCATGGTAAGTGAGTAGACCATGCGAGACTCATCGACCACCTCCTGCCAGGCCTCTTCAGGCACTGATACATCAGCAAGTTTTTCCTGGTCTGACTGGTGTCGTACTGGCTCACTGCTACATCTGTGAGGGTCTGCAGATTGTCTGCAGACCACAAGACACCGAAGTGGCTACAATAAATACCCTGACCATCTCAAACAGAAAACAGATGTTTTATACAAGTCAACAATATATTCTCTGTGAAGTACAACCGTACTGCTGCCTGTAGATATTCCATTAAGTCCCTAATAAGTATGTTGTTGTTATTTTAACAAGTGTCATCAAGTTGGGTTTTCCAGAAGTGGCTAGTAGGGAGAAGCATCGATGGTGCAGTTAGCAGTCCAGTGCTTATCCTACCGCACCAGAGCAGGACCCATGACAGCTATACTGCTGGGGAATAAGCAACACACTGCTCAGGGAGCAACAGTCGGTCGGGACCTACTCCTGTCGTTACGAGAGACTTCGTCATCTAGTGAGGACTTCCAAAGCACCACTGCCTTTCTGAGTCATGGGAGAGTGAATATACCTGCGTGGCTTCTAAAGCAGCACAAACAACAGCCCAGCTGCCTCAGTGTGTGTATGGCCCTGAGCAAGACTATCAACCAACAAAACCAATCTAAGACAAAACTGTGCCATAAAGACTGCCTTTGTTGTTGTTGTGATGTGCCGTGGAGTTGGTTCCAACTCATAGTGCCCCTGTACGGGATTTCCAAGGCTGTATTTTACAGAGCAGAAAGCCTCAACTTTCTCCCGCAGAACAGCTGGGAGTTTTGAACTGCTGACCTTGCGGTTCGCAGCCCGATTTGGAACCACTACGCTACCAGAGCTCCTGAATCTGTATAAACCATCAGTTTATAGGTGATTCCGGAGCTTCTTTCCCATTGTATGAATTCACAAAGGACCTGCAGTGAAAACGCAATCTCAGACAAATCAAGGATTGGTGTTTCTCAAGTGTCACAAAAACGTGTATTTTCAGATGAGTCCATGTAGACATCAGAATACCAGCCACTGAGGTTAACGACAGGCACTTGAGCAGGTAAGGCACAGCAAACAGGAAAACCCAGACTGAATAATATACGGGCTGACCTCTTGTTCATTCACTAAATAGATAATAATCTAGTCTTCCTTTCCTCCTTCCTTAGCAATAGAACCCTAAGTTTTAGCTGGGGCCATTCATCTCATGATAAGCAATTGTTTCCCTGCCTCCCTTACAGCTAGGCAGGATCATGTGGCTACACTCCAAGAAGACTTTAGGACAACTGTAAATTACTTTACAAGTCATATGACATCTGCTTTTTGTGCACCACACCTCCATACACACACACACACACAACCACCCAGCTACTCAAAACAGATCCGACAAGCTAGAGTTCTCTTCCAAGGATTATAAGAATAAGTAACTTCATGCTGGGGCTAGCAGAAAGTGAGCTACAAGAAGTCTTCCTCTTCCATAGCTTCATGTAAAGTCCTTAAAAGAGCTGGACTGGAGACTTTAGATTTAATTTTCACAAGAGACAAAATATGTCTAACTTACTTAAATCACTGTTATTTGTATGTAAGCCACAGAGATGAAGCCAATTTAAACTGACACAGCCCGCACCAGCGTTTGTACCCAAAGGAAGCGTTCACTAAAGGCCTCCCATCTTGAGGTGTGGGAATAGCTGGCTGTTAGCTATCCTCTCTCTGTGTGCTTCGAATACAGTTCTTGTCTCTAACTCGCTATATACTTCTTCAAGGCACACCTCACCTTATGCTTCACGGGGAGGGACTGTACTGTTAGAAATGGAAAGCTGTGGCAACATGTGTCCAGCACGTAGACTGGCAACATTCTCCTTACAGTGTGTGCTCACTTGATCTGTGTGTCACGTTTCCATCATTCTCACAAAATTTCAAACCTTTTCATGTTTGTAATCTTTTTTCTTTGGAAAGGCTGTAATCTTTACAGGAGCAGAAAGCCTCATCTTTCTCCCGCGGCACCGCTTCTTGTTGTTAAGTGTGGCCCCAGCTCAGAAGGACCCTATATAGGATTTCTGAGGAGTGGCTGGTGGGTTTGAACAGCTGACAGCCCAGCGCACTATCCTGCCACACCAGGCCTCCAGGGAGCAGTTGATGGGTTTGAACTGCTGACCTTATGTAGCAGTCTAGTGCTTATCAAGATTGAGGAAAACTGAAGATGCTTTCAAACAATTAGTCAAATGCTACCAATTGCCAAATGCTATTAGAAGGCCCTGGATAGAGTGAGAGAAAATACGGGACAAAACTCAAACTCATAAAAAATAACAGGATTACAGGTCATGCAGAGACTGGTGAGACCCTGAAACTAAGGCCCTTGGTTACAAAACCTTCAGGTCTGGAAGGCCAAAAGACAGACACGTATATAAGGGAGCTGGAGTCCTGGTGTGGCGCTGTGGATCAGCACTGGACTGCGAACCACAAGTCAGTGAATCAAACCCACCAGCTGCTCCTCAGAAACCCTATACAGAATTGCTGTGAGGTGGAACCAACTCCACAGCCCTAACCGACAACATCAGGGACATAGTAACTCTAGTGAGGTTTGCACATCACAGAATGATCAAAACGGCAGCATCCACCCAAGGACAAGGTGTGGAGGGCTGGGAATGAAGACAAGAACCAGAGGGCGGAAGTGGGTAAGTGATGTGACACTGAGGGGATTGCATCACTGAGATGAAACAAAGTGTACATGAGTTTGTTGAATGTACAACTGATGATCTAGTCTGTAAACTTTACCCAGTTCTTAACAGAAAGTTTGAAACAAAAGTTCAGTCATGCTCTTTTTTCCAGCACAATGATTTTACCTGTCCGAATCACTTGGAACATGCCCACGTATTACAATCAAAGTCCCAGGCTCCAGGTGCTCAGGGATGGTGCCAACATACGGGATTACCTAGGGGGGGAACCGTTTGTAATAAATGAACATTTATGTACACAAAATACTAAGCAATTATAAGTAAAACTCAGTTACTACCAGGAAATGACAGGATTCTTAGAGGCTGCACATCGGTGTGCTCAGAGTCCAGCATTTCCCTAGACCTCACTAGCCACAAACCATTCTGAGGTCTTTTAAAAAGACATGAGGTAAATCCGACCCAGAGTACTTCTCAGTACAAAGGCTGAGGGTTCTGTAAAAGAAAACTTCTACTAAATGTGGTAATTCTCCTAATAGAAAACAAATGTGTGTGCAATGCAACGTCTCTCCACCCTTTTCTCATCATTCTATTGACAAGCCCCAAGAGAAGTCTCAAGACCACCATCATCCTTAAGCCCATGCTGAGAGAGGTTATGAGAGCTAATCATTGGCGCACCCCCACCCCTGGGACAGGAGACCCCATCTTCATCTCTGGCTTCACCGCTGCACCCCAGACCAGAAACGCAACAGTGAATTGCCATGGCCTTAAGGGTGAACAGCAGGTCTTGGGGAATCTTTGAAGACATGAAATCCACCTGCCTAGGGTTGGGCGTATTGCCAGGTATGGTGTAGTGACTTATCTAAAGTCTACAACTCCCACCAAACAACGTGTCTGCCCAGTTGTGTCTGCGTAAGAGAAGGTGGGAGAAGACCCTGATATGATGACATGATTCAGCTGTGGATGTAGAAGAGTTGATTTTAATTGTAAAAAACATGGGTTGAAAATGAGCTCTGTCAGAAACAGGAGAGAAACATCTCCTCACCACCATCAAAGAAGAGTCAGGACTGGAGTGTGTCCTTTAGACCCTGAGAGAGGTCCCTGCGCCTTGAACCTCCTCAACTCTGGGGCACAAAGCTGTGACCCCGGAGAAGGGTCCCAGCATCAGCAGAACTAAGAACCAGAGTGTGAGATGGAACGGACTTCCCAGGCCACGGAGCAAGTAAAGCGGAATGACTGGGTGAGAGGCTGCTTGTAGAGTGGGGTGCCTTCCAGGCACTTAAGTGGGGGGCTAGGCTTGCTGACCCATGGAGCAGTTCCTGCAGACCTCCTTCACCAGGAAATGAATGAACAGCGATTTGCTACTCTGCAGTAGAGCTGCTACCCACAAAACCTGGAGGACCCCACAGTGTGCTAGTATCAAGACATACAGAGATGTTAATGTGTACAACTATCTTCTACAGAGTATTCGAGTAAGATCTCCTTGTGCACGAAGGGCAGAAGGGTTTGGTCCGCCTGATGGTTCGGACCCTGCAGCTATCCTCCTGGCAGGCAGCCCTCCTTCCTTTCCATTTTTTTTTAAAAAGCTTTGCAGAAAGTTTACAAACTTAAAATGCTGTTAACTCTAAGATGCACAAAATCCATATTAACTATAACTATCTCACTGACTACAAATTCAGTAAATCTTGCTTTTGTAACCTGCTACCATTGAAGAGGGCTTTTTCTAACACAGATTTGCTTGATAGGATGGTTTTGCCTTCCCCTTGCAAAACGGCATTAACATTTTAAGAAAAAAGAATTACAGTTTCAAAGTGAATAACAGAAAGATTATACCCACTCCTCCATCCTTCCCCTAGATACTAACATGATTGATTTAGGGCCTGACTTCAAAGATCCTCATTCTTCCTACTGCCCATCCCATCCACCCCCCCAAAAAAACACAAAAAACAACCCTGCTTTATATTTCAGACCTTTATTCAGGACTGAGCTTCAGATGATAAGAAACTGGTGGTGGTGGTGGTGGTGGTGAAGTGCCATGGAGTCGACCCTGCATGGGGTTTCTGAGGTTGTAACTGGAGCAGGAAGCCTCATCTTTCTCCTGCAGAATGGCTATTTTCGAACTGCTGAGCCGACTTATAACCAATACACTATCAGAGCTCCTTTTAGAAGGAACTAGATGTTTCTAAAGATTCTCATCACCACATAAAAGTACAAGTTATTTACTGCCCAGAGTGCATACTGAAATACCTAGCAAAACAAGAGCTCTTGGAGCAACTTGAGCCCTGGACAAAACCGAGGTCCTCCTTCTCCCTCCCACCACTAGCTCTTGATACCCTCCCTATCTGTTCATAGACCAAGCAGTGAGAGGCCTGGGAAAAGGTGTGATGGTACCTTCTAATAGTCAGGTCTAATTTAAAACAAATGAACCCCTGTAAAGTAAGACACCCATTTCCCTTTAAAAATCATTGTACCGGATTATAGATGACATTTTGTAGGTTGCTTAAAGACAGCATCATTCTCTTCCACCTTACTGTTGATTGGAGTCTCTCTTCAGTGTATGATCTAGGTAAGGCTCACTTAAGGCTTCCCAGATGGAAAGTGATAGACTCTCCCCTGCATATCAAAACACAGACAAGGAACAAGAAGCATGCATAATTTTGCTTCATATCTACTTTTTAATTTAAATTACAACTTATGTTACTGATATTTACCAAGGAACAGGATGCTATTAAAATCAAAGATTTTGCCCCAATTCTTACCTACTGTACTTCATTTTAAAATAATTTGGGGAATATGACTGTAGAAATTAGTGGCTTTAAAATACATCAATAGAAAAACTTTTAAATGGAGTATAAAACATACTAAAGTAAAATAATCCTTTTATCTTTCCTTTCCAGTTGGCACTGAGTCAATTTGGACTCAGGGCAACCCTACTGTATAGCACAGGGGACCTGCTCTCCAAATGGTTTTCACGATGTGACCTTTCCGGATAAGATACAACCGCGAGCTAGAGCTATCCGTTAGCAGCCTGGCGCTGAAACATTTACACTAGCCAAAAACTCAAAGTAAAGTGTCAGCAAGTCCTAACCAGAGCTATTCATTTAACTTCTCTTATCCGGCCTGTAAAAGGAGCTCTGGTAGCTTAGCGGTTACGAATCGGGCTGCTAACCTCAGAGTCAGCAGTTCGAAACTCCCAGCTGTTCCGCGGGAGAAAGATGAGGCATTCTGCTCCCGTAAAGATTTACAGCCACAGGCTCGGAAACCCTGTACAGGGTCACTATGAGTCGGAACCGACTCCACAAAACAACAACAGCAAAATGAAAATGATAATAGTAATTAAATGAGTTAAAAATAGAAGAAAAATCAATGCTAGAAGTTGTTTTTCAGTGACGTCGAGTCGGTTCCGACTCATAGCTCCCTGGACAGGGTTTCCAAGGAGCGGCTGGTGGGTTTGAACCGCCGACCACGGCAGGCCTCCAGCGTTGCCATAGTTACATTCATAACATTCTTGGTAACCAGCGAGTGACCCAGCTGAAGCCAAAGGTGTGCGGTAAAGCAGTCCTTGTCTTCAGCACTGTCACGGACGGACGGGCCCTGCAGTTACCAACATCTCCCTTGCTACCACCTAACGAAGCGGCAGCGCTTCAACGTCTCTAAAGGACGGGGGAAGAAATGCCCACGGCGGCATTGGGCTGCAGGAAACTAAGTCCTAGGAAGACGCGAGAAGGAAGACGCCCAGGTGGCTAGCGGGTTTGCAGCGACCACTGTCCAGGGAGGCGCAGGCTGCGGGCCAGTTGTCCTCCCCAGCAGCGCCCCGCTCGCAGAGGCCCACTCCCCGGGCCCGACCCGGCCCGGCCCGGCCCGACTCGGCCGGGACGCTGTCACACCCACCCAACTCATTTAGGGAGAGGGGCGTCCCCTCCTAGGCTGGCGCGTCCAAAGTCGCCTCGGCTCTGGCGACTGCTGCCACCCGAAAGGGCCGTCCTCTACCGCCTCACCCTGACTCCGGCGTTCTAGGTGCTCAGTCAGGCAGCGGGCTGGTCATCTAACCGCGAGCGTCGTCCAGGCACCGATCTCAGAGTTCCTGGGCAGCGACGGGAAGTGAAAGGACTCAATCCCCATCTAGCTTCCGTTCCGCGCTCCCCGGGACGTCGCCGTCGGCCTGGCGTCTGCGTGCAGCGTCCACGTAGCTCTGCGCTGGGCTTGTGGTAACCAGGCAACCGCTCCGAGCTTCACGCAGCTTCCGGCCACTTGGACTCTGGTGAAGCTGAAGCGCGCGTAGGGAGAGGGTTTCTTGGCTGACCTGGCTGCCTCAGCGGGCATTTGTCTCCCGCCGCCCCGCTCTTCTGGCCGCTGACTCTAGGAAGGTGCGAGCTTAGGGCCGGTGTCCACGCTGCGTGGTGCACGGGTCGACCCGGCGACAGTCGGAGGTCAGCAGGCGCGGGTGTCTGAGCCCTTCTCTGCTACGTACTCACACTCCTGGTTGAAGGTGACATGGTGAAGAAATGAGTTCATTGTAGCTGGGCTGTGTTCCTCCCAGAGCCCTTGTACTTCCCGCCACTGTTAATTATCCGCTAATTGTTTTTATTCGTCTTTTCTAAATTGTGTGTTCGCTGGCCACTGCGAGCATTGCAAAGTAGAATTGCTCCGTAGTGTGCGATGTGGTGCTGTAGGATAAGCACTGCACCGCAAGGTCGAAGGTTCAAACTCACCAGCCACTCCTCGGAAACCTTGTTGCAGGTCTGGGTGGGACTCAGGATACCACCTGAAGCCCTAAACTCCACAAAGGCTTCACTAGAAGCCTATTTCCCTGGGCATATTCTAATTCCCCTTTAGCTAATTTGTTGTTAGGTGCTGTCGAGTCGGAACCGACTCATAGCGACCCCATGCACAGCATAACGAAACAATGTCCGATCCTAGGCCAGCCTCACTACTGCTGCCACACTTGATGCCATCAATGATGCCACCTGGCTGATCCATCTGGGGGTCTTCCTCTTTTTCTCTGACCCTCCATCTTACCCAGCATGACATCCTTCTCCAGCGACTGTTCCCTCCTGACAAGTCAACAATATTACATGTTGTAGGTGAAATGTGAGATATGTTGTCTACATTTTCAAAAAATAATACTGCAATGATTTTAGATTTATGAATCACAAACTGTCTTGCTTTTGCTCCTTGGCAGCAGTAACTGATTAAACAGAAGTTTTGCTCATCTTTTGTCAAGGATGTGAGCCAGGCTGTCATAAGGAACCTTCTGTTAGTAATTTTACTTAATGTGTTACTATGTTTTGCTGTTAGCAGATTTTTTTAATGAATTAAAATGATTGTCATTTGAGCATTCATTAAATGGTTTTGGGAAAATATGCCCCTAAATCTCGATTCTTGAGGAACACTATAATGCAATAAACACTATAAAGAATTTATAAGAACTGCCTTGATACATGCTGAGAATTTAAGAACCAAGATTCTGGAAACTTTAATGATAATCATGATAAATAAAAAGCAATATTAAAGCAAAAGTGTGCTGCAGAAGAGATTTATGAGCTGTGGAGAACGTGTACCCTGGCTTTCCCTTTATTCCCATAAGACAATCAGTCTTTATTTTATTCCCATAAGACAATTGCACGTTATAGTTATGCAAAATCTTCAAAAATGTATCCATCACAGAACCCTAATACTCCCTTCTTATACACATTTCTACTTCCCAGGGAAGTTTCGTGGTTGATGTTTTCGACCTCTTCTGATTGCCGATAACCACTCTAAACAGATTCACTTCCTTGTTGAGTCCTCTTGCTTTGAAATAATGTCTCCCTAACCCTAGCGCTGCTCCTGGGAGCTCAGCCTCTTTTCACCCTCCAGATCCCTGGTGTTCAGATTCATCAGGCTTATCTCTCTTGTTCTACAGGGTCATATCTGAGATCAGGTCTTTTCAGGTGTGAGAAACAAGCTTCTGAAACTATGGTTTTGTCATAAGATGAGAAAGAATATTCGAGATGGGTGAGACCTTCAGATGAGCACAGATTAAATTCATTCATTCTGATGATGGCTCAAAGTCTATTTTTTAAACACTCTGTTTGAATGGCTTAGCCATCTATGGTATGTTAGTACTATGTTGTTGTTGTTGTTATATGCCGTGGAGTCAGTTCCGACTCATAGCGACCCCGTACAGGGTTTCCAAGGCTGTAAATCTTTACGGGAACAGAAAGCCTCATCTTTCTCTCGCGGAACAGCTGGTAATTTTGAATTGCTTACCTTGCTGTTTGCAGCCCGATACGTAATCACTGTGCTACCAGAGCATACCACATATGCATCCAAAAAATCCTTTTTGAATACCATCAATATGTTCGGCACTGGAGATCGGGTGGGTGAAAACATAGCTCTCCTCTCATGGAGTTTAAGTTTTAGTGGGTGTGACAGATTGAAGCAAACAAGAAATCCATGTGAGTTTTCGAATACAAAAATAATGAGTCCAAGTACTTAAAAAAAAAGAAACTTTTTAATTTAGAAAAATTTTAAAACATATGCATGTTTAAATTATTATACATTCCTGAGTGTTTTTATGTACATCCCCCCAAAAAAACAAACAAACAGGGAATAGAGGCAAATACTACTGAATGATGATGCACAGAGGAGACTGTAATCATTTCAATGAAACGAAGAGTGTAAAACTGATGTTCTCCCGTGTAAACTATCACTCAATTCACAATAAAAACTTACCAAAGAAAAACTGTACACAAAATCAAGAGATGGAGTGATGAATTCCCATGGTTCAACTCAGAATTAGTAGCATGCCAATCTTCTTTCATCTACATCTCAAGCACCTCTCCCTACACCTGACCCATTTTTATGCAAATCTCAGGCATTTAATCTATAAAAGCTTTTATATATCCCTTTTTTAAATATAAGGAATTAACAAAAAATATATCCAAAATACCTGTTTCTTTGTGGTTTACTGACTATGCAAAGGCATTTGATTTAGTAAATCTAAAATATTAATAATGTCTTATACCACTTGTCTGTCAGTTTGTTGCATTGTGGAAGTTTATGTGTTGCTGTGATGCGGGAAGCTTTGCCACCAGTATTGCCACCAGCAGGGTCACCCAGAGTGGACAGGTTTCAGCGGAGCTTTTGAGTAGGAAGAAGGACAGGCAGACCACTTCTAAAAACCTTATGAATAGCAGTGGAACAGAGTCCTGGTGTGACACTGTAGGATAAGCACTGGACCTCAAGGTCAGTTGGAACCACAAGATTGGCGGTTCAGACTCACCAGCCTCTCCTTGGAAACCCTACACAGGGTCACTATGAGTCGGAACTGACTTGATAGTCCCTAACAACAACACTATCTGATATATACCAGAAGATGAGCTCCACAGGTTGGAAGTCACTGAAAAAACGGCTGGGGTAGAGCTGCCTCCTCAATGTAGTTTGAACTTAATAATGTGGATGGAGCAAATCTTTCAAGACTTTCATTTGCTGATGAAGCACAACTCAAAATGAAAAGAAACAGCTGCAAAAA